GTATATACACAGTACATACAGTATATGTACTGTTTTACAATCAAGTCCTTAGAAGTACAAGGTATGTACCCCTGTAAATATGTGGAACATACCACTGTAAATATGTGGTACATACCACTGTAAATATGTGGTACATACCACTGTAAATGTGGTACATACCACTGTAAATATGTGGTACATATCCCTGTAAATATGTGGTACATATTCCTTTAAATATGTGGTACAAACCACTGTAAATATGTGGTACAGACCTCTGTAAATATGTGGTACATATCCCTGTAAATTTGTGGTACATATTCCTGTAAATATGTGGTACATACCACTGTAAATATGTGGTACAGACCTTTGTAAATATATGGTACATATCACTGTAAATATGTGGTACATATCATTGTAAATATGTGGTACATATCCCTGTAAATAAGTGGTACATATCCCTGTAAATAGTGGTACAGACCTCTGTAAATATGNCCCATAAATATGTGGTACATACCCCCATTGGTTGGTACGTGACACTTAAAGGGACTGGGCTGTATTTAAAGATTAAGAACTGAGTATATATAACTGAGTACCTACACCACATACCTAACTGGAATGTATATGGTTTTGTAAGACAGATTTGGCACTATTTTCTGATGAATGTCCAAACAGAGCTTAGAAACTCAAACAAACGTGAACTAGCTTCTATTATTCCTGAAGATACGAGTTAATGTCACTGAAATTCAGACTCACCCCATTGGCTCTGCTCATGGCCTGGAAATAGATGCTGTAGCTCTTTGCAGGCGACAGCGGCGGGTTCCAGAAGCCCCCGTAGCTTTTGTTGTCCCCCACCGTGAAGGGCTGAACCACCGTGAGGCCGGACGGCGGCAGTTCGGCCGCAATGTAGTACGGCGAGTTCAAGACCGAGGCGTTGCGGAAGCTGACGGGCGCCGAGAAACAGTCCTGGGTTTCGGAGGTGGCGCGCCGGGTTTTAGACTTCCGCTCCTCCTTCACAACGAGCTGGTACGAGCTGGAAGAGAGGCGTTTGTGTTTCTTCATTTTAGGTAAAAATTCAGTGCAAAAACTGTGGAAAACACGATTTTTAAAAAATATCCAGTGTAAGGCTGAGTGCTATAAAATCAAGTCACGGCTATAAATATTGTTAGTAAAATATTCTCCATGAAGGACGCAGGTTGATAAAAAAACAATCAGACACAAACATATCTGGTCCTGATTTAGTAGAAAAGTTGTTTTTAAGTCAGTTTTGGTCTTTAAAAGGAAAAAAAACAATGTTTTTGGGAGTTAGGATTGTATTTGTGTGTATAACAGGTGTGTGTGGAGGTGTGTTTATACATTTAAATGTGTGTTTGTGTGTGTTCCATTATGCTCGGAGAGGCTTCACGAATGGTTGAGGGCTCCTTCAGCAGTCAGGACAAACGCAGCGGCTCTTCTGCAATTACCTCCGTACTCCACGCCAAGAACTCACTTCACAATTATACGCAATTAGGGAAATGTATGTTTCTGTGAATGGGGCCGCGGCCAATTATCCCCAGCTCTCGTTTGGCAGCTTTCAGAAAAAAAATAATTGCTGATGACCAAAGATGAGTCTGTGGCACTCTGTGTCACTTTGCCGTTTTTCTGCCTTTCTGGCAGAATATCTGTTTCAAATTAATGGCTTTCAGAGGCTGAACAAGACATGAAGCAGCAGCCAAATGTTACGAGAGAGGGGGGAAACGGCGTGTGTGTGAAAACACACATGAACACATATAGCTCTTGGCTAGACGTCTGCATTTTTATACGAGTTAAAATTTAGAAAATTTGGCCAGAAAATAAATAAATATAAATATTTTCTTCTCATGTTTTGGTCAAAAATCATTATTTTTTATGTTTACGTGCAATCTTGCATGATCTTATATCGCACAGAGCTCAGAATATGTTAAAGGGAGGATGCTCAGCTACAACACCAAATTTCACTCAATATTTTTAAAACAGAGTTATAGTTAGGGCTGTGTATTGACTAGAATTTGGTGATATGATACATATCATGAAACTGGTCACGATACAATATATCGCAATATATTGCAAAACAGTAAGCAATTGTCATTTTTCCTACAAAAATTCATAATTTAAAAGAACTCAGTATATATAGTATTATAATTTATTACAATAAATAATAATACTAACAATAGCCTATATTTATAACTATGATTTTTTTTTGTAAATTACTATTGTTTAAATTCAGTCTTGAGTGGAAAAAAGGGGCAGATATGATATTTTCCTCTTTCTGTTGTCCTTTCATTTTATTTGTGATTTGTATTGATTTTACTTCTATTGTATATAGAATTTATTTTGTTTTTAAGTTGTTTTTAAGTAAGTAAGTAAAGTTTTATTTATATAGCGCCTTTCACAGAAATAAATTCACAAGGTGCTGTACACTCAGGGAAGGGGGCAGTTAAGAAACACCTGTCATGGATTAATCCATCCAAGAAGACATACAAGGCAAACATGGGGGAACAGGTGAAACAGGTCATGCAGCAAACACAGTTGTGCTACCTTTAACTACAGAAAAACTAAAAACCACACAAGGGAACATGAGGGGAAAAAAATAAAATAAAAAATGAAATGAATAAGTCAAATAAATAAATAAGGCTGCTACAGTCTGTTTTACCGTCACAGGGTCTTCTTAAGGGGGTCGTGAAAGGTCGCCAGGCATTTCAATGCCCTCAGTGTTTTAATGGTTCTTAGCGCTAACAGTTATTTACAATGCTAATGTTTGATCTAGCATTATACTCTCAGGCTCCTCAGGAGGGGAGGAGCCAAACAGATGGCTCACTGCTGCCAACTAGTGGCTGGAGGCTAAATTACAACACAAGAATGGATTGCTGGCATTCAATTTTACATTTTAAACCTTAATTAAAAATCGATACAGGGCTTTAGAGAATCGATAAAGTATTGAGAAATGAAATATAATATTTCAGTGTGTCACAACTTTCGTACACTAGTTATAGTGATGACAGTTGGCATAATACTTTTGATTGAATGGTAGGCTATGGATTTGGATTTTATTTCATTGGTTTCCTGTATCTGTATGGGATTGTTACCAGAGTGATTTACTTCCACTGAAAACACATTTTAAACAGAGTTTTGTCCGTAAACTGTTGAATTAAAAACTGCCTGATAATCACCGACATTTGGCTCCGTCACGTCCTCTCAGAGTTACGTCTCCATAAACCAGCAGCTACAAAGCAACAGCCTAATGATGGGATGTTTCACTGACATATTTAGTTTTAAACTAATGGTCTCATTCTCTGGGTTCTTTTGCATACAAATTGGACTTCTATGTGTGAGTGACTTTAATGGATGTAAAAGAGCCCCTGGAGGAAGGCAAAAAGAGGGTGAATGAAAGAAGATGAGGGAACAGGGGGGTAAATGGGGAGAAAAGTGAGCAGGTAATATAAAAAAGGAGTTAACGGGAAAAAAGAAAGGAGTGGAGGAAAAAAATTTAAGCAATACTGAAAAAAAAGAAGGTATTACCTGATTGGTGCTCCACGAGACTGGGCCGGTTTCAGCAGGATGGTGATGGTGGTCTCCGTCTCATTCAGAGGAGTTTCTGATTCGTACTCAGGCATCATGGGAGCTGAAAGCAGAGGTTCCCAGGAAAAATAATCATTACTGGACGATGACACAAACAAGCTGCGATCCTTTAAAAAGTGCCGAGCAAAGAAAAACCTTTTATTCCCATCAGGTTTTTAATTTCACATCTGTCACGACCTCGCCTTGGAGGCATCGTTTAAGTGTCTGCTGGAGTTTAACACTTTCTCTAAGATTATTACGACACACAGGTTAACACGAACTCACCCCTCCTCCTCTGTCCACATATCTTTATCCATCTGCAGCATTTAATTTTAAAGGCCCTGCGTTCTTTCAACCTCGAATGAGATAATGAAGATTAGGGATGGCGTGGCATTTGGAAGGAGACATATCTTTAATGTGTGGATGGATTGTGTTTCTTTATTCTCCTACTTAAGGCGAGAGGTTGTTAAGATTAGTAGAGATGATTGAGGGAAGGAGGCTCAGCGGAAAGGTCAGGCTAAAAATCTCAGAGTGTTGACAGAAAGAATAATGGTTGGAACATACAGACGACACGTGAGACTACAGTCCTCCATAATTTAGTCTAGTTCCTAGTGTAGAATTTTACACCCTGAGATTTGGGAAATTCTGCAAATCAATGTGTTTATCAGGAAATAATAAGTATAATGTTTACTGTTTTTACCTTGTGTGGGTTAAACTGAGTGACAACAAACGATTCGTAAAAATACCCAGATCTTTTGGGAACAAAAAGAAGCAGTCGGCCACAACCCACTTTATATCCACTTAGATAGCATGAATCTCTATTTGCTTCATATTCATCTTTGATTACTTGATATCTGCCCCAACTTACTCATGAAGTGCTTTTATTCACTTTGTACCCAACTCTGCCCACATTATATCCACATTCACCCACTTTGTATCACCTTTGGCCCATTTTGTACCCACATTTGCACACTTCAAATCTGCCTCTTCCAATGTATTTTTTACCACCTTTTATGCATTTTGTTTCTCCATTGGTTCATTTTGTACACACATTTAGCTACTTCATGTACACTGCTGCCAATTTTGTACCCAACCTAGGCTATTTTGTACCAACCTTCACCCAATTTGTATCAGCTTTGGACCATTGTATAGCAATGGTCCACTTCATATCCATCCATCCATCCATCCATTTTCTTCCGCCTATCCGGGGTCGGGTCGCGGGGGCAGCAGCTTCAGAAGGGAGGCCCAGACCTCCCTTTCCCCAGCCACTTCTTCCAGCTCCTCCGGGGGAACTCCAAGGCGTTCCCAGGCCAGCCGAGAGACATAGTCCCTCCAGCGTGTCCTGGGTCTTCCTCGGGGCCTCCTCCCGGTGGGACGTGCCCGGAATACCTCACCAGGGAGGCGTCCAGGAGGCATCCTTACCAGATGCCCAAGCCACCTCAACTGGCTCCTCTCGACGTGGAGGAGCAGCGGCTCTACTCTGAGTCCCTCCCGGATGACCGAGCTTCTCACCCTATCTCTAAGGGAGAGCCCAGCCACCCTGCGGAGGAAACCCATTTCGGCCGCTTGTATCCGGGACCTCGTTCTTTCGGTCATGACCCAAAGCTCATGACCATAGATGAGGGTAGGAACGTAGATCGACCGGTAAATCGAGAGCTTCGCTTTCTGACTCAGCTCTCTCTTCACCACGACGGACCGGTACAGCGCCCGCTTTACAGCAGACGCTGTGCCAATCCGCCTGTCGATCTCCCGCTCCGTTCTTCCCCCATTCGTGAACAAGATCCCCAGATACTTAAACTCCTCCACTTGAGACAGGGCGACCCCCCTGACCCGGAGAAGGCACTCTGCCCTTTTCCGGCTCAAGACCATGGCCTCAGATTTGGAGGCACTGAGCCTCATCCCGGCCGCTTCGCACTCGGCCGCGAACCGCTCCAGCGAGAGCTGCAGATCTCGTTCTGATGAAGCCAACAGGACCACATCATCCGCAAAAAGCAGAGATGCGATCCTAAGGCCACCAAAACGGATCCCCTCAACACCTCGGCTGCGCCTAGAAATTCTGTCCATGAAAGTAATGAACAGAATCGGTGACAAAGGGCAGCCTTGGCGGAGTCCAACTCTCACCGGAAACGAGCCCGACTTACTGCCGGCAATGCGAACCAGACTCTGACACCGGTCGTACAAGGACCTGACAGCCCGTAACAAAGGGCCCGGTACCCCATACTCCCGGAGAACCCCCCACAAGGCCCCCCTTGGGACACGGTCGAACGCCTTCTCCAAGTCCACAAAACACATGTAGACAGGTTGGGCGAACTCCCATGCACCCTCCAGGACCCTGCTGAGGGTGTAGAGCTGGTCCAGTGTTCCACGACCAGGACGAAAACCACACTGCTCTTCCTGAATCCGAGGTTCGACTATCCGACGGACCCTCCTCTCCAGGACCCCTGAATAGACCTTACCAGGGAGGCTTAAGAGTGTGACCCCCCTGTAATTGGAGCACACCCTCCGGTCCCCCTTTTTAAACAGGGGGACCACCACCCCAGTCTGCCAATCCAGGGGTACTGCCCCCGATGTCCATGCGATATTGCAGAGTCGCGTAAGCCAACACAACCCTACAACATCCAGAGCCTTGAGGAACTCCGGAACACTTCATATCCACCCTGCCAATTTTGTGCCCATCCTTGTCCACTTTGTACCCAACTCTGCTCACTTTTTACCCACATTCACCCACTTTGTATCACCTTTGGCCCATTTTGTACCCACATTTGCACACTTCAAATCCGCCTCTTCCAATATTATACCCATCATTGTCCACTTTGTGCCCACCTTCTCCCATTTTTCATGTCAGTCCATTTTGTACCCACATTTACCCTAATCATATCCACCTCTGAATAATTTTGTACCCATACTTGGCCTCTTTGTATACACTTTCCACCTACCTTCATCCACTTTGTATTATCTTTGATCCATTTTGTACCCATGTTTACACAGTCCATATCCACCTCTGTCAAATTTGCACCCATCCTTGTCCACTTTGTACGACCTTTTAGCCATTTTGTATCTCCATTGGTTCATTTTGTACACACATTTACATACTTCATCTACACCTCTTGCAATTTTGTACCCATCCTAGGCCATTTTGTACCAACCTTCACCCAATTTGTATCAGCTTTGGTCCATTGTATAACAATGGTCCACTTCATATCCTCCCTGCCAATTTTGTACCCATCCTTGTCCACTTTGTACCCAGCTAGGCAGATGCAACGTTGATTTAAATACCTGAACTTTTGACAATAATACAAGTGTTTATTTTTTGTTTTTTAATGCATTTCTATGCAAATAGGCCTAAGGTTTTTAAAAAATATATGTAATTGAATTTGTTGCCATAAACACCCTGACTGTCTGATTGCATGAGTTGGACAAGTTTCTCCTTTTGCAGTCAGAGGAGAAAGGGTACAGCATATATTCAGCTGTCAACAAAGATAAATAAATGTATTAATGCAAATTAATACACTTCACTGTCGCTACTTTTATCCACCAATTACCCTGCACCTGTATTTTAAAAACCACGACTGAGCCATTATGTGCACTGAAGCTTTAGGTATTGTTGAAGTGTGCAAGTTCTTTTTTTAATCTATAGTTTCTTACAAAGATAAGCATGTTACAGTTATTGTATATAATAATGCTGACTATGAAATAAAGGACATCTTGATTCTGCGAAGGAAATCCTTGCAAAGATAGAAAACATTAAACTGCAACTCAAAGACAAGAGTTCAACAGAGAGAGTAAGATAAGAAGGGTAAAGAGACACAAAAAATAACAATCAGAGGTTTTCTGTCATAAAAATATCAAAAGATGTACTCCGTCAAACAGCTGGATAAATCAAGACGTTCTCGCGTTACCAAATAAACAAATGCCTTCGTCCACGAGGGCCACTTCACCGCCTCAAAACAAAAAGTCAGTTTCTCCTTTTTTGTGGTGCCACTGACATTTTCTGCGTGTTGATATAAACAGGACTCCAAATGGAGAGAAAATGTCAGAAAACGGTCAGTCAGTCAGACAAAGACAGACTCAAACAAAACCAGAGTGACACATTGAAAGAGAAAGTGAGTGACACATCAGACCGGCTGGGAGACGCAACAAAAAGGCTTCAACTGTCTCTACCTGCTATTACTGCACTAACAAAGAGCGTCTTCCAGTAATTACAGAGCAAAGACCAAACAAATGTCAGCAGACGTGAAAAAAAACAAGCAAACAAACAACAGACAGCACTCAAGTCCCAAACTAATTCTGTCATGAGGACAATAAAGATTCATTTTTAATCAAAAACAAATGCCACACATGCAGTGTTTACCTGCGATCTTAGTGGATATCCTGGTGGTGACAGGCGGACCAAAGCCCTTGTTGGTGGAGGCTTTCAGGGTGAAGAAGTACGTCGTTCCAGGGTACAGGCCGACGAACAGATGATGGGTCTCGTTCTTCAGCTTGAACACTCGTCCCCTCTGGGTGGTCAGATCAGCGCTGGGGTCCAAGGAGCTCAGAGCCTTGTAGGTTATCTAACGGCAGAACAAAAGTCCTGGTGTTAAAGATTTAATCTTAATAGATAAAACAGGATATTTTTCTTTCCGTAACAAATTAAAGTTCAACCTCCAACCACCCCCAATACACAAATCAAGGTAACCTCAGCAAATCAACGAGTTATTTGATTGTTTGTTATTTGACGTTAAAGTGTTGTTGGCTGTCGACGTCAGGTCCACGAGGCTCCACATGATCTCCACTCAGAGACCGATTGAACAAACTGACTCCTCACTAAACAGAAAGACTTCAATAGTTCTTCTTTTTAACCAGTTGTCAATGCATGTCGCTGCGTCGCTGTTGGCAAGTTTCCACACTCCAGAAAACATCAATGAGTGCTCACACAGACACACTGACACACTGACACATGCACCATCAAACACCGGAGGACAGCCGTCAACGGAACCAAAAATATCGACTGGCGGATAAGAAAAAAAGAAATGAGGTTTTCAACCAAAAACCTTTCAGGATTGTGTGAATGGATTTAAGTTCACCTCAGTTTGTCAAAGAGAACTCGAAGTTTAAATGCAACGATCTGAATGAAAATCTGTCTTCAGTTTATTTGTGTGAATGTTTTACAAGCTTCACACTATTGTTTTCATGTTTCTCTTTATTGTTTTCATGTTTCTCTTTATTGTTTTCATGTTTCSCTTTATTGTTTTCATGTTTCTCTTTATTGTTTTCATGTTTCCCTTTATTGTTTTTATGTTTCTCTTTATTGTTTTCATGTTTCTCTTCATTATTCTTTATTCCGTACATTTTTATGCACCTTTCTCGTTCCACAATTTTTGTGCTATTTCAACAATTCATGTATCAAAACATTCAGCTCATTTATGACAATCCTGCTATGACTTTTGGTATTTCAGCTATTTATACTTTTTCAGCTATTTCATTTTTTCGGCCACTTTTTTGCCATTGAAAATAAATAGGGCTGATTTCAACATCCTTGTTCAATATCTTTGTAGCACCTTACACAATTTGTTCTGGTTCTTCTCTTTTTAAACACTCGGGTTAATTCTAGCTACTTTTTTAATAATTTAAAATTTTTCTGCTAATTTAGCTATAATTCTGCTTCTTTCTACTATTCTTCTGCTATTTTCTGCTTTATTTTGCTAATTTGAGAATTTATGCTTTATACAATTGCTTTCTGCTATTTCCGGCTATTTGCAGCAATTTCTTGCTAATATTAAGCTGTTATTAGCTAAAGTTAGCTTTTGTAGGCTGAATTCATATTTTGGTGGCTATTTGAGTTTCTTTCTGCTTAGTTCAGCTAACTTGTGCTCCTTATTTTCTAGCTAAATTTGAGCTGTTTTACTGCACATGTTGGCTGTTTTAGCCATTTTCACACTTTTCACTCAAAACCTTTTGGTATTTTTATTGCTTTTCCTACTAATCTGACATTTTTACAGCCTTTTCACCATCTGGATATGAATTTCAAATTGTGTCTGCAACATTTAGCACTTTTTACTCTGATTTTAGCTTTTTTCTGCTATTCCAGCTGTTATTTTGCTTCTTTTTGCTATTCTTCTGCAATTTTTTCTAGTGTTCTTTGATTTGTCTTTTACTTTAACAACGTTTGCTCAACACCAGGCAGATGTTCCCAGAAGAAACGTTCCCCAGCAGCACAGGAGTTCCATCACGAATGTTTGCATCAGGAACTTTGCAAATATCACAGTTCATAGTAAAGATGTGAGGATTAACAGATTTCAATCCACACATGTGGACACTGTGAAAGGGCACAGAAAGATACAACTAAATGTTTCAGTCTCTAAAAAAGTGAGTTTGATTTTCCAATTGTGCTAAAATCATTTGGCTTTTAAAAGTTACAAGATTGCGTGCTGGGAATGAAGTTGTATAAAGCATTTGCTAATGTATTTATATAGGAATTTGTATAATTTCCTTAGAAAAATGAAAAGCAAAAAAGCAGTATTTTAACCAAGATGATGAAAGCCAGTAGAATGCAGAAACATAAAAAGGATGAGTCAGAAACCTACAAAGTGCTAACAAGTGATGAAAATGGATGTTTGCATGAAGCTGGTAGCTGGGAGGCTGAAGATGTGAGTGGGAGTTTGCTGAGGGAGGCAGCAGGAGGAACATCTCAGCACTTCACACGATCGGACGTCAGACGGCCCCTCGTCACTCCGTTACCAGCTTCGAAGCAAAAAGCAGCGACAGCTGGCCGCCTGGCTTCAAACAAGCCTGCAGGCTGGAACGGTGATGTGTGAATGTGTGACTGTTTGCATGAAGAAGAGACAGAAGAGAGGACGGGACAGGAAGGACGCTCAGCTCTCATCCACATGGGAACACAGGGTGCTGTAGCTATGCCAGGCCTGTATGTGGCGCTGTAGCACTGCCACAGAAATACACCAAAAACAGGAAACGAGTGGAGCATTTACATAAAGTTTATACAAACTAAGAAAAAAAAACATTTTTTGTAGACTGACAACCAATCAGAACCTTTGCTTCATGTCACATGACACTACAGCCGACTGAGTCAAATCAGGTCCAATATGAGGACATAAGAGACAATTTAAGGCTCAGTATCCAGAGGCTGAACAAAAAGGAGCTTCCTCATCGGAGTAAAATCTTCAAACACAAATGTTGGTCATATTTTAAATGGTTACTTGATCTATGTTTTAGTTTTTTTTCAGAAATGTTTAGTTTTTTGTACTGTTGAAGGTTTAGTAACATATTTTTTAGCCTTAGATTATTGTCATAGTAAGATTTTTTTTCTGTTTTTATTTGTCAAATCTATATAATGTAGAGGACATACAAAGGATTTAAATTACGTTACTCTCACACCCTGGTGCAATAAACATCAAAAGTAAACAGGAAAAATATTACAGGGTTCCTACAGCTTTAACACTTTTTAATACCAACTTCACAATAAACACTAATGGGAAAAAAACTGTGAACATTTTACCTAAATGTTTATTTTAACACAAAACTAGCTGTGAGAGGCATTCTATAAATTATTTAAAAAATAAATACATTTTACCAATTATTTAAATATGAGACAAATTTCAAACATCCTACTTACAGTGTGCTAACATTTTTAAAGACCTTTGAAGGATGGATGGATGTATGGATGGATGATGAATGGTTGGATGGATGGATGGATGGATGATGAATGAATGGATGGATGTGAATGGTTGGATGGATGGATGTGAATGGTTGAATGGATGGATGTGAATGGTTGGATGGATGGATGGAATGTTTGGATGGATGATGGATAGATGGATGGATGATGAATAGTTGGATGGATGATGAATGGTTGGATGGATGGATGCTGAATGGTTGGATGGATGGGTGGTTGGATGGATGATGAATGGATGGATGGATGATGAGTAGTTGGATGGATGATGAATGGTTGGATGGATGGATGGATGGATGATGAATAGTTGGATGGATGGACGGGTGGATGGATGGTTGGTTGGATGGACAGAAGGACAGACAGACAGACAGACAGATAGACAAACAGATAGATAGATGTCAGATGGATGGATGGATGGAGGGATGTCAGAAGGATGGATGGATGGATGGATGGATGGATGGATGGATGGATGGATGGATGCAGTTCTTGGTTAGTCCCAGTTTAGTGTAAAAGGTTGTGTATTTTGTGTCGGAGGTTAGCAGAAAGCAGAGGCAGAGCTGACAGATGGAGCTCTCTGAAGGTTTTCTGAATATTTGACGTGATTTTTGTTAACACATGACGGAGGACACAGGCTAGGTTAAAGGTGGGAATATGACCATTAAAAAGGTTGTGTTTAGGTTCTCCACTCAAAAAAACAAAGATATGGTTTCCAGATGTTGGCTCTGCTAAAACATCATTTGTTATTTCCAAACAGATTCAACGAAAACCACCAAACACTGTAAAAACAGTATGTGATGGTTTTAGCCCTGTGAGAGGGAACATCAGGCTCAGTCCAGTCAAACCTCAGACTCCCTCATCAAACAAACAAACTAAACGTTTCTCAGATTGAGGAACATACAGAATAAAGCTCTAACTGACAGCGGTCAGTGCTCTGAAAGGCAGCAAAGACTGGACTTCAACAAACATCCAGCGTCTCTGTGGTTGGAGAGCGGCCCGGCCGGCTGAATAATACATGTTGGATCAATAACTATTTATACAGGCTGGGACAGCGGGGCTGGAACAATAAAATATCATCCATTTCATCTATGCTGCAGTTTTGGTTTGCACATCAATGACCGTTATTTTACAAGTCATGAATAGATCCATACTTTTATGGGCCTCTCTCTCTACCTTCTCTTTACCTCCTCTCTTTTTCCAGGCTGACTGATAGACTATCTTTCTTCATTTTATTACTCTTAATGGCATCTTCGCTTTCCAAGTATTTTCTCCAGCCCTCTTCAGTCCCTCCCCTCCTCTCTCTGTAGTTGATGTACTTGGGATCGGTGGAGCCGTAAAGCTCAGGTTGTTTTATTGGCCAATGAAAAGGCCGGCGCGCAGCGGGACAGTGCATCTTGGGTAATAGAGTGTGTGTCTGCAGGGTATAACTCACAGGGAAGGTGTACTTATGTGTGTGTGTGTGATTGAATTAGTGGGGAGGACTGAAAAAAAGAGGGAGATAAGTAAGTCAGAGGATAGAAGAGGAAATAGTGCAATGCTGTACTTAAATAAAAACAAGTTTAGAAGAACTGAACGTGACAAATGTTAGCTAAATATTTCCTGCTGTGTTCTGCAGAAACTGAACTGTTCTCCATCTTTTCCTGCGCTCCGTTTGCTTGATCAGAAATGAAAAATAACCTGTTTTAATCTTCACCCTCTTATTTCTCTTCCTTTCTTCTCCGTCTTGTTCAATTTAAAAGGAATTACAGAGCATGTTCGGGGTGTTTTTCTGCTCTGGTTTCTTTCCCAACAACTCACTTGAGAAGAATTTCAAATCATCGCAGCCTTCTTCAGCAGAAAAACACACAGTGAAACATTATTTTGGTTGAAGTTTTCTGTCTCACAGAAATG